AGAAAAGATATTACTGGATAGTGCATAGTTTATAAGAGGATGAGGTGTAAACTGAGAATTAGATCCAGATAACTATGTAGTCCTTGATTACATTGTTAGTCAATGTATATTTACGTTATTTACAGGTCATATTTGCTAGAGCTTGATGTTTAACAAGACTACATCGCTGAAGCATGTAAATGCTATTAAAGCTTGTTAACGTACCATCAAAGCTAAATATTTAATATAGGCGGCCAGTTTTTACTATCGATTGAGCTAGTATGTGATGAGAACTAATCAATCTAACATTACGATAATACATATGAGCATTAATCAGAGGACTAATAGAATATTGGCCTACACAAATAAAAATCGAATGAGAAGGTTAAGGTGGAAATAAGGATTAACAATAATAGGTTGCGTTTCTTTAGTTGGGATCACCAAGCACGAAGCGCACTTATAGGATGGGAATCTCATGGATCCATGATTATCAAGTCATCCTTTAGAACAAGATAGTGGGAATTGCAATCAATGTTATCCAGTGTTATACACCCACCAATGATAGCAGTGAGGACGATAAACATCAGTTTTACGAGAGTCTGCAAGCAATCATAGTAAAGTGCCCGAGAATCTAATTATTCTGATGGGAGATCTAAACGCCAGATATTAAGATAACATGAGACGACATGGACTGGGAGGAAGAAACGAAAATGAGGAGAGATCTGCAAACGTATGTGCATTCCACAAATTGATTGGAGGTGGCACAATATTCCCCCACAAACACATACACAAAGCTACACGGGTTTAACCGGATCACACTACATAGAAAAACATCAATCATGTTTGCATCACTAAAATATTCTAAACGTCGATGGAAGACGTGAGAACTAAGAGAGGAGCTGACATAGCTTTAAATCTTTACCTGCTTGGGGTTATCAAAATGAAGCTGAAGCCAAAGAGGCAATGGACAATTGGAGAAACAGCATTACAGAGGTTTAATAGACTTTCGTCGACATATCCACTCAACGAATTCAATATAACTCTCAACAATAAGTTCCAAGCATTACAAGATCCACCGAAAGAAGAAGAAGCTACTATGGAGGACAGTCGGAATGGGATCAAACAAGCACCCACTTCAGCGTGTCAGGAGGTGCTGTGTTACAAACGGCGGCATCATAAGGAGTGGATCTCAATGGAAATCCTGAACAAGATTCGAGAAGGGAAAAAAAAGATGGCAATTAACAATAGCCGAACAAGAACAGAGAAAGGCAAGACACAGGCTAAATAAACAGAAGCAAACAAACAAGTGATGATAAGCATCAGAGCTCGCAATAGGAAATACGTGTAGGCAAGTTTGCACTTGAAACGAATGGTGATGATTCGCCCGACCCTGACGTAAATAGGTCACGTCAAAACAAAATTTCGACGAGAACCGGATATAGTTGTCCAACAACAGCAACAAAACAAGGTGATACGGACAGTGGATGATTAAAATCTGAAAAAATGCAATATAGAAAAGTTCGATTTCGATCTAAAAAGTACTTCTTCATACTGTATGACAACCCACACCAGTTTATTCAAGACAAAATCTTGTTGAAAAAATGTCTGGAGTACGATTCCTTTAAAACCTAACCAAATATTGAAGGACATTAGTAGCATCAAGAACGTATAAACTGCAACAGCAATCGCCACAGAAAAATATATACAAGCAGAGATTTTCTCAAATGCGTGTGCATATATGTATAAAAACATATAAAAGTGATAAGCTTTTTACTTAAACGCTTATTGCTGCCTTCCTCTCTACCTTCTATGATTTCATTCTACTTATACACATCAATTGAAATGATGTAGAAAAAGAGCGAAATGAGTAAGGGCTATGAACTAAACTTCAAAACTTGCCAGAAACATACAGTTTTTAGAACTGTAGTTAATGAACAAGGTAACAACGTTGTTGAGACTGTTTTACATATCAGTATATTTGATCAGACTGTTCAAAATGTATTGCGCGCATATATCACATAAATTTGACAACTTTTACTTTCTCATTGCATCATCGAAATGCCTAACTGTTAACATGAGACATCGAGTCCACATTCATAAGACAACTAGTAAGTAAATGTGACAAGTTTTGATGAAGCGGTGCAGAAACGAACCGCTAAGGGTGGTCCAGATTATCTAGATTTTGGTCATTATATGTTATTTGGTTTGTATCAGCCATAGTTAGGTGGCTATGAGTTAGTCGATAACCTCAGGTTGAAGTTTAACATTATATATAGCACTTGATTATTACTTTTTATTGTTTGTACGCGTTATTAATAACATATGCACATCTAAATAGTCAAACCTTATGTTCGAATTGTGTCCTGTGTTGTGTAAAATGTAAGATCGATTTTCTAAGCTTTCTAAATTTATCATCTAACGACAGACCAAAGGCTAGTTCGAAAATCTCCCTGAAGTATAATTACGATGGCATTTTTAAAACTGATATTTCCGCACTGGTCTTTGTTATTACTTCATTAGCTGTTGTCACATCATTGGCTATTACGATATAAACAGAATTGTTCCACTTCGAGTTTCACTTTCTTTTAGGGGTACTAAGCTGTCATGAATAACACACGTCTAATAGCGTGTACATTATCGCCATTGAAGTGCTTTTTTATGACAGTCATAGGGTCAAAGCATTAATGGAAAGTGATTATCTAATAAAATTAATTAAGGGGCGGAAGGGTCTTATTATGGTGAAACCTACAACAATTCAGGTGCCAAAAGCTTGTAGATCACCAACGTAGTTGATTTAGGTCGAATGATTGCGGGCTTACTTCAATTTCACGGTAATGGTGTGATCACCAGCTAACTTTGGAGTCACACCACACGGTCAGCACCTAACGTGGATATCCCTTGAACATACTAAGGTACTATGGCTGCTTTGAAGACCGAACAACACAAAGGATGTTATTACAGAAATGGATTAGTAAAAGTAAGTACAAGGGATAAGTTGAGACCATCAGTGCATGGCCGGTTTATGGCGTGCAACTAATTGACGCGCTTTGGTTGTCCCTGACCCTGACGCGGATTGATAAACTGTTCGACAGTCGGTGACCCAACTTCCGGATGATTTGGCTGGGGCTCAGTGACATCTCGCTGGTCCTACAAGCTTCTGTTCATGCGTCAACCTATCGATAGGCGATTCATATAGTTTTGTGCTGAAATTAGCTTTTAGTCAAATGTACAAAACTTCAGCGTAATGTGAAAGATTGCAATAAATCTTACTGTGTCTATCGCTTTGCGTGTGTCTAGCTACGTGCGCATAGGAAGGAGTCAACCTGATTTATAGGTTTGGCTTTCAAAGCACGTTAAAATGGCTACAGAAACAAGTACTATCAAACGACCCAAAAAGTTAAGCTGATAAACATCTACCTCCCTTTATTGGTAAAAACAAGGTTGATGAGGTTCATAAGATAGATTTTAACTCAGTCTTTGTGGTTTTGCGCAAAGACTATTTGGAACGGATAAGCCGCTTATGTCAAAAAAGATACCAAGTATTCATTGACTTCCTTATTTTGTATGGGCACAATATTTGCCATCGTCGTGTGTTGAATGTTGGAAAGCTTTGTGTGTTTGCACGAGTAACCTCGCACTCGATAGTGTGTTGTTTCACGAGCTAAATAAAGACATATTCATTAATAGTCTGGTTTCTTCTATCAATAAAACTAGGAGTGCTGGAACGAAAGACTAACTAAGGGTTACGTAGCAGCGTAAATTGTAACTATAATTTACAGTTTATTGTTAGGATTAGGAGCTAGATTTAAGGCTTTCATCGTGAAGTGACATCAGCTAAAATGCCCAAATGTCATTTAGCCGAATGAATGAATGAATTTAGCTCCAAAATCCTTATCCTGGTATTCTGAATCTGATTGGTTTGTTCATAATTTATAGTCTCTCCCATTTCATTAGTACTGAAGAACACCGAAGCCCTTGATCTTGGCGTTATACTATGTCAGTTTAATCGATCTCTTATGTGTCCCAAACCTGCACAATAATACGGACGACTTTCAAAACAGTGTACTGAGGTGGATTATTCCACAAGCTTTCTCGTAGCTATTGCCGTTAAATAAACTTGAAATCCACAACGCCGCTGAACCCCTCTTTTCAGAAGAGACATAAATCTCTTGGATCAAGTACAGAGATGGGAAACGAAGTGATTTTAAGGTCTAAAACACAAATTTTATTTAAACAGAATCCAGCGCATGGTATAATTCTGGCTAAGCTACAGGGGACTAGGAGGTGATCTGAATATGACATACTACATATTAATTACGCCAAACCACCTCGACGCGAGCTTATCACCAAAAAATTATCACTATGCTCCCCGAGACAACCATCGAGAAATAGCGCATGCAAGAGCAAACATCAAAGTTCACTTCTGCTTTATATCAACGAGAGCTGCCTCCATTTGGGGTGCCCTTCAAACCGAAGTGACAACAGCCCTCTCAGTAGATACCATGATACCTTGACTAACACATACTCACCAAAGATTACCATTCCCCTCTTGAATCAGTTGTGGCTAGTGCGTGTCTCACAAATGAACACAGTTACGATTACGATAAAACCAGTGATTACTTCCTCTTTCTCTCATTATCATCTCCGTTCCCCACTTATTCTTTTAATTCTGTCTTAAACAGTATTAAGTAAATTAATTATTTATTTTTGAGACAAACATCTATTAGCACTCACATTATCACATTATTATTTACACATTCCAACCGACCAACCTGCTGGATGATAATACGATAGCCGACGGTTTCTAGAACCCTTACTTCCCTGAGTCAAACACACTCGGTCGAATTTGAATTACAGTACATACGAACCCACAAATAATTACCAAATACAATAGATTTGGTGGAGTCCAGGGGCTAGCCTATTACTCATTGAGCATAACCAAATACATGGAACAGTACCAAAGCAAACAGAAGCAAGAGCAAAGAAATCAAGTGGTTTATACAAGCTTGTGACAAAAATATTGAATATTGGACCCGCGCAGTTGTTGTCTCGTGGTGAGTGTATTGTTTTGAGTGTTGCGATGCGTACTTCTCCGAAACATCGTATGAATTGTCAGAAGTTATATTTAGTTCGTATTCCGGGCTAAAAGCTCATGCTTTCGGAGTTTCCAATTTTATCAAGCGATTAATGATCTTACAAGTATAGTACAGTATCCAATGTTATTATACGCTGACGATGTAAAAATTTGGCGAGTAATAACTGGAGACAAAGACGCATTTACTCTTCAGGCGAACTTAAATAATATGATAAACTGGTCTAAAGAGTGGCTGATGCCTGTCAACCCGGAAAAGTGTGTCTACATGCACTTAGGGGATTCAAAGGTTAATACATACAACATAGGGGATGTGTCATTGCCCGTAGTCCGGTCTCATAAGGATCTAGGGGTGACAGTGAGCAATGATCTTAAGACGACGGCCCATTGCCGGGAGGTCGCAGTTAAGGGGTTTCGAACCCTCTGGGCTTTAAAAAGGACATTCACTAAGTTTGATACTACCATGTTCACCACATTATACACATCCTTAGTGAGAACTAAGTTAGAGAACTGTGTTCAGGCTGCAAGCCCCTGTTTAAAAGGTGACTCAGACATACTAGAAAAAGTGCAGAGGGCAGCTACGCGTGCAATTCCGGAACTCCGGGGTTTATCATATAAAGAGCGGCTTGAAAAACTGAACCTCTTTACTCTGTCCTATCGCAGACTAAGGGGAGATCTAATATTGATGTACAGAATATTGAGACATGATTTCGGACCTAACTTATTCTCTTTTTCTTCCCACTAGATCGGGACACCTCAGAGGACATAGCAGGCGAGTAGAAAAGTCAAGAACGAACAAAATACCCGTGGCATACAGGTTTTCACACCGAGTCATCAATACTTGGAACCTGCTGCCTGAAGCAGTGGTGTCCGCAACTTCAATTGACTCTTTCAAGAGAAGACTGGACACTCACAGAAGCATACTAGGAAAGGAATAACATAGGCTGTAGGCCTTCTGTCCTTACCACACAAATCTGAATCTGATTAATCATTTGAGCGATCTAGCTGACTTAAGTAATTAATTAGTGACTAAGTTAAAGTATACTACCAAATCAATGAAAAACGAGCTATAATCAGGTGTTGGGACTAGAGCTATCATCATGGGTTGGCGCCAGTTGTATTTCAGGTTTTTAAAGTTAAGTCCTAACTGCGGTGTCATATCGCACTAGGAAGTGAGTGACCTAAGTCTCTCGTATCTTTAGTGTATCCTGATTGACCAAAGTAACTAGTACAAGGTCTTTTGGCAGTTAACACAATAATTTCGTCTGTGTCTTTGAAATGAATTCGTACTCATGATAACAAATATCATTAGCCGGATTTCACTGTAATCACTTTGTGAATTTATCAATAGTTTTGATGCCAAGCAGTACGTTTAACATAAGGAACAAACTAAGTTTGTTTCTGGGTGCTGTCATTGCACACGAAAGTTATTTATTCTTCACCAAATAAGACAACTCAGATATGCTGTTCAGTCGTCTGCCTTATTTTTTAAATTTAAAATGAATACAATTCGGTACAACTAACTCATGATTACTAGATCCCGAGCTGCACGTTGCTTACAAGTCTAGTTCGACCAACTGTGTTTTTTTAGTTTGACTTACAAACGCAGCTTTGCATATCCCGTTACATACTGTTCATAGCCATCTACCAGTTAACATTGTAGACTAGGAATAAAGGGATAGTTTTCGTTCCAAATCACCCCATTAGCTTCAAGCAGTTATAAGCAGTATAAACTTTGGCACATCTGTCTGTCGATCTAAACTACCACAGCATATTAATACAGCTGTATGAAGTTATCGGTCTGAGCTGTGCAAACTTACTGTCTGAATCCCTCTGAGAAGTTGATATGGCATGTCCAGAGAAGATTAAAACTAGCTGTTGCGTTCAAACTCAACCTGGTAGTATCACCAGTTTCCACAAGAAGTATGACAAAAAGTCGAATACACAGACTTGTGTTTGATAGTTTTTAGTATCGTACATGTTTGTACACTAAGCTGTAAATCATATCTGCTTTAAGGACATCGTAAGCATTACTTGCTCTTATAAGGAAATGATTATATTTAACCTAATGGATGAGAGCCCCCAAGTCACTTTCCCTTAATGTGACAACTTATTTAGACTATTAGGGCTAGAACACTTGTTCCTTGAAATGCTACTATTCCAAGTTGGTTCGTCGGAGGGAGGTAAGACGAAGGGCGGCGCATGTTAAACCTGAGGGTGGATTTATGTTTCTCCCGTGATGTTGCTTTCTCAGGGATAGATGATGAGGTTGGAAAAGATCAGTTTACAAATAAGGACACCTCATCATGAGTTAGTTTTGTAGTGCTGATAAGATCTGTAAGGTACTGAGTACCCCTTACAAAACGATTCTGTGTGATCAGGATTAAGTAATTGTCCTTTGGATCTGTAGTCACTCTCTTAGATCAATATGGCTTTCAAAGAGAACGCACTCCTATCCCCAGGTTTCACAAGAAATATTTTTCCGCAATGTGGGGAACTAGATCTTCTCTGCTGTCTGTGAGTCCATAGCAATAAAGTTAATCTTGTTCAAAATAACTATCCCTTTACAACCGCTTAATATTTATTCTATTGAGATTATCAACCAGTGACACAGCTATGATGTACAGATCTCTATCGAAAGTTGGGAATACTTCCCGGTAATACTATCATTAATTCCTAGCTGTGCAACATGGTATATACAAGTAGAAGACACATGTTGTTAGTAGCTGTCTTCATATCATTGTTGTTGTGGAACCATGAAACAAGCAATACAGGGTGTTGTAGTTTTTGGGCAATGTGGTAAATCGATTGATGATACTATGTATTTCCATATGTTATAGTAGTTAAGGTATATTTCAGTTTTTAGTTCTTTTATTGTACTAATGTGTATTATGGCTAAATAGGTCGGTATATTTTTTTCCAGATCCCGAGTTGTTAACAGTTGGCTGATAATTTTTATTGTTAGTCGTAAACTTTTTAGTAGGCAATAAGGGGAATGCAAACTTAAGTGAAGCAGCTTATCTTAAAATGTCCTAAACCTTTCGCTTAAATGAAGTTGGCAAGGTAGCAGAATAACTTCATTCTATGGTAGATAAGTACTACGCTCTCTTGAGATTCCCTAAGTTATATGTTATGATGGGAAAAAAAGTAAACCTGATAGTTCGGTCTTGAGTAACCCCCAAAACCTGGGCCTCCCAGACGCTTGTGTTTCAGTCTCATTCTAATCATTTTAGCAACTATTTTGTTCACAAGCATGTAATTTTATTAAAGAAACCTACCAACATGTCTACTGGTCTTGTTTTTAATCCTACTTTATTAGGCGTGTTGGCGTTAATAATTTGGTTTCGTGAATATTTATCACTTGATCTACTTGGTTGACTTGACTACTTGGTTGGGGTCCGCGTGACTATCGTAACCAATGGTTGGAGACTCTTGGTGACATGGCTCAGAATCGATCACAATGGCGTCGGTGTATACACTCCCTGTCTTCCCTTAAACTATGAGATTAAAACCGCTTCTTTTTACGAACCAATTCTTTCTGCTTGTACTATATCTCTATATGCAATCTTTCTCCTATATATATTACCACCTTTTACCTAACCACTGTTATGAATCTGGTGTTCATCTTGTTGTGTTGATGCTGTATGGCAACCTGGACCGATGCACATATGTGCCTGGTCCTACGTTGTAGCTGACTGACTGACTGACCTCCCTTAAATGCACTAGTACGGCTAAAAGTGGGTAGCCGTGGAAATGCTTTCATATGGCCACGTGTATATACCCACTACCAAGGAAGTCACATCTGACTGGTCTCAATCACTGATTGTGCCAGTCTATAAGAAAGGACAAAAGTCCTCTTGTGACAGTCACAGAGGAATCAGTTTGACTAATATAGTGTCTAAAATATTAGCCTCAATAATACTTCGACGCCTAATCAAAGCTCGTGAAGAACAGACTAGAGAAAACCAGGCTGGTTTTCGACCTGGACGTGGTTGTATAGACCAGATATTCACACTACGTCAGGTCCTAGAACACAGATGCACATTCAGACGCCCCACAATCGTAGTATTTCTCGACCTTAAGGCGGCATTCGACTCTGTTGATCGTGAGGTTCTATGGCAGTGTTTGTCACTGAAAGGAGTACCAAAGAAGTATATTAACCTTATACAGGCTCTCTACTCGAACACAACTGGTATAGTGAGAGCTTATAGCGAACTGTCATCAGAATTGATTACCTCAAGTGGTGTTCGTCAGGGCTGTCCACTCTCCCCATTCTTGTTCAACTTTGTCGTCAACGTACTTTTAGAGATAACACTCTCCTCATCTAAATTTTCAGGGGTTGAACTTCTACTGGGAGGTTCACTTGTTGACTTAGAATATGCTGATGACATAGTTTTATTTGGTGAAGACGCTGACAAAATGCAGGGTCTTCTGACCACTCTAAGCAACAATGCAAGCATGTTCGGGATGCGATTCTCTCCCTCAAAATGCAAAATGTTGCTTCAGGATTGGGTTACATCGACACCCGGACTAGTGATAGGGAGTGAAGTAGTTGGGTGTGTCGACCGCTTCACTTATCTTGGAAGTCTCATCAGCCCTTGTAGTCTGGTGTGACGAAATCTCAGCACGGATACAGAAGGCTCGACTAGCTTTTGCCAACTTGCGTCATTTATGGTGTAGGCGAGATATCCGTCTATCAACCAAAGGACGTGTTTACTGCGCAGCAGTTCGTCCCCTTCTACTTTATGGCAGTGAAACATGGCCGGTAAGAGTAGAGGATATTCGTAGGTTACTAGTATTCGATCATAGGTGTCTTCGAAACATTGCTCGTATATCATGGGACCATCGAGTAAGTAATACAGTTGTTAGGAAACGGGTACTAGGTAAGGATGGCAAATCAATTGACGAAGTGGTGAAACTTCATCAGTTGAGATGGCTGGGACACGTGTTACGTATTCCCAACGGCCGACTGCCTCGATGTGCGATGTTCTGTGGTATAGGAGTAGGTTGGAAGAAAGACCAAAACATGGCACAAATCCATGAAGTCACTGACAAGTGGTCTGAGTCATGTTGGTAGGTGTAGACTACCTGGTTGGGGACCACGAGATGATAGCAACCGATGGTTAGAGACCCTGAATGACATGGCTCAAAATCGTTTGCGATGGCGCAGATGCATCCACTCTTTGTGTTCTCCCAAATTCTAATCTTCTGAATTCTTCATGTCCCTTTTTCCCTCTTTCCAAATTTATTTCACTGTATTATATTCTTTAAATAACATCTCCAAACCCTAATCTTTCCGATCACTGCTTACACTCTTGCTACCTCTACCACTACGGGATTTGGATCGACAACTGCATCTCTGTTAAGGTGGTGTGGCAACTCGAACTGATGTACGTACGTACGAAGTTCTACGTTGTTACTGACTGACTGTGTGATAACTCATTTTTTTAACGTTTATTAAGAAACACCATTGTCGACCAAAAGCAATCAGTAAGGCTTCCGGTATCAACTACCTATTTATATTGATTGTTTAAAGTTCTAGAGGTGAAGCAAATTTCATAGATTCCTGTCTATCAATAAATTCTATTGTATAAATTTACTCTCCAAGTGTCCGAATCAAGATAAAATCAAACCCAAAACTCAAGTCCCTGATAAGAAATCGTTTCATTTGAATCTATACTTATCTGAGTTTCTGCATAACTGTCTTTACGTCAAATTTTCTTGTTTTTTTAAAAAGACATTTTCAATTTTTCAGGTTGGAAAATCATTGTAAAAGCGGAATTGTGACTCTTAATGAGTATTGGTTACACGTTCCTGTGAAATGAATGGTGTGAAACGTTCATTTAAGCTATCCACATTCTTAATTTCTACTGGGATTCCTTCATTTGACGAATTACTTGGTAAGGCTTCTTTAAACTAGTATCACCAATATTTGCAGGTGGTGGTGTGACCTCAGGAAGTATAGTTCTTATCGGTACGGTATACTAAGTGTTATTAATTTCAATTCTGATTTAAAGAGCCAGATTTTCACCAAACATATGCAAAACTGCTCGTAAATTTGTTCGTAGCAGAAGGTATATTATCGGGTCATAGTATATTCTATGGTGCAACGGAAACATTTGACAATTTACTATGTGTAGAAATAATTTAAAATATAGTCCAACACGATATCTCTGTAATATTTTAGAAATTACCTGATCATATAACTTCTACAAATGAGATCGAAGAAGAAATTTCAGATCTTAAAATTGCTTGGCGTTATCAAAATGTCCCAAACATTAAGGTTTCAGTCATCATTCTAATTCTTACGTGACACTTTACTTCCAGAATGTAAATTCATCTGTATCGAGTTTAGGGCATCATTTCAATATAACCACGCCCATGAATGCAACTGCTCGAATATCTGAGAAAAATGTGTCAACTTTTTATTTCCAACCGGATAGTAAAAAAACGTAATAATTATTTAATGCTAAAGTCTCTCATTTCATTGTTATAGATTGCATACCAATCTCTTCAGTTTAATTCAAAAATTAATTATTTTCCGATCAAACACAAAAGTGTCTTCAGGTATACAACGGATAGGTTTGTTTTTTGCCGTTCATTCATCTATAGCATTCGAAATACTTTATCCTTAGTGATAAACTCATGCGGCTCTCCTATGTGGGGTTATTGCAAGGATACTCAACAGTTCTACAGGAATATGCTTAATTTCTTTGCTACATTACGCCTGCTAATCCAAAACAGTCACTGCACAGTTTTCGTCACGTTACCTACAATGAAGGTGAGGTTCTGCTTAAGATTTTTCATTATTTGTTCTGTCTTATAATGTAATATATTTTGGCTGAGTTTAATTCCATATTTTACATTCTTTTTACTATTACAGAAGTGTCGTTAAGTAAGGTTACCAAATGAGATCATGCTAGTCCATTAAAACAAATATTATGAAATCAGAATATTTCGTGTTCAAATCGCTCTTAATGCTGTTGATGTAAAATGTGCCAGATTAGATCAATAAGCATTTGTCTCAAACTGAGTGTATTTTTATGACTACTGACTTATCAACAAACACTCATATATATTGTAGACTTAGGAGTTTTCATTTACATTAAGCAAGGGGAAACCAATTTTGTCTCATTTAATAATAAGCGAGATAATAGACAACTTAGATTTATCTGTTTAACTCTTCAAAAGTTCTATGTTTTATGGATTGAGTTAGTAACTAAGTCATCAGTTAGTATTCTAGCGATAAACCTTACAAAACAGACGGTATATTTCAATAATCTTAATCTAACAAATCTTTTGAAGTTTTTTTGTTTACCCAATCTTCATTTAACATCACTATTTAAATTGATTACTATTTTCAAGTTCTATATTTGTCTCTACTCAATCAAATCACCTTTCAAAATACAAATATTTAGGCTTTGAGTGTTTGTCAATTTTTAATCGAATAGTGTTATGAAGGATGATTTTGAATGAGTTAATATAATAGTTTACTTATTGTATTCGTTAAAATAATGAGTGTCAGTATGATGTGGTGGATTGATAACCTCTCATGTGGGCGAATTATTGAGATATATACCCTGAATGAGTCAATTTCAATGGACAACGCAACCGAACAACAGAACAAGGTTTTTCTAGAAAAGTGACAGGCTTATATACTGGGTAAATGTAAATAAGTGTCACTCAACAACAGGTATATGGGAAATATTATTTTTGTGGGTCACTTACCAATCAAATAAGACTTGACCATCAGGATTGATTCGTGCTCATTATATCAGTAGGTCATTATACCAATCATGGACCAAAACATAAAAATAACACGAAATCTCTCACTGTTTTTTCATCTAAACTCATCTAACTGGTTTCATAACTGTCCAATTAATTTTATATTTGTGTGCCTATCTAATGACCAGTCATCATGGTGTTGCATGCAAAGCGATAAAACTGAGTACTGAACGCATTTCTTACAGGTATTTGATCGTCAGTACTTTTCGAGCTCTCTTTATGTGTAGTATAATCATCGGCTAAAAATGTCAGTTTAGTGTAATAGAAGAATGAGTCAGACTATAAATCTTTACAGAATAAAGCAGGTGTAATGTATTATGTACGCTGAACCACTGCTTAGTAAAATGTATTGTAATGATTAATAAGCGATAGTTTAGTAGATAAAGCACTGGACTGATCTGGGTGGTATCACTAGCTTTCGCGCTGTCTGTGTATGCAACATACACGTACTCAGTAAATGAGATGATTAGTGAACGAGGCGACTGCGAAGAGATGGTAATCAGATAATAACATGGCACTCATCTATGAAATCATTGAATATTGTTTTCAGTTATATAAAAAGAGGTCAGATTACGTGAATAAAACTGCTAAAATTCTGAAAACTATCGATTGAAAACTGTATGATTTATACTATAATCAGTAACTCATATGCATTCATTATCTGTGTTAGTAAATTATAGAAATTTAGTTTACATCTGTATTTGTAACCAATTTTACTAAGCATTGTTAACAAACATATAATAATATACTCAGACATTTCAATTTGTTATTCTGTCAAACTGTGTATTGATAGTAAATGAAAAATCCAATCATATCCAACTGACTATGTTAATTCGTGTTTTGTTTATTTAACTTGTTCTTCGTTTAGCTACCGCCTGGTCTATTGACTCGTCTATCTCATTACTGTGATTATATGTTTCGAGTACAAGGACTGCGTGACCAGATACAGGCGAATCCAGTGTATTCAGAATATGATGGTCTACTCACAGTTCTTCATATTCCTTGGTTAATCAGTGGGAATACACTTGAACCGGCTTTCAGATCATCTACACTTGAATGGTGTTTCAAGATAAAACGACATCAGCTAGTTGTGCAGGTGAAAATTACCTTCATTTATATGTCTATACAGTTTTTCAAACACACATCAAAAAGTCATTTCAAGGAAGAGTACATGGCGTAGAACTCTTGTTTTTAAGTGATATTGATTTGTAAACTGCTCACTAAGGGTTATTATATAATGTTTTAGAAGAGGGTAGTTCAATTGCAATGACAGTTCAACTGATGAGTGAAAGCGTAAAATTTCTGTCTGTTCAAAATTCTGCATAGCAAAAGTGCTATGTAAGCTCGTTTTCTAATTCAAGGTGTTCTCTTTCTTAAAATTGTGTGTCCTCAAGTTTTTGCCAATCGGATAGAACTAAAATCAATTGGCTAATACTACGATAATTTGTGAAGACAATACTGAGCGACCAGTTTTACTTTCATTTACTTTCTTGGGATTAATGTTGGTGTGTTATTGGACGACTCAATTTCGTGGATTAGTTAAAGTTAAACATTAACATCGTTGGATACCGGTCAGCTCAGCGGTCTAGAGGTTAAGCGTTTGCGCGCGAGACCTATGGGTCCTGGTTTGGAGTCTCGTGAGACGGCGTCGTGGATACGCACTGCTGAGGAGTCCCGCAATAGGACGAAACGGCTGTGCAGTGCTTTCAGGTTTTCCATAGTGGTCTAGCTTCAATTGACTCATGATCTCAACTATTGAGATTAGTGTTTAATTTATTATGTCGCGTGTGTTGTTCGCCAGTTTACGTTGCGTTATCCATAGTTACTGTTATCTCTGATAGTTTGGATAGCATGTTTATTTATTGTTTAAAAGTGGTGAGGTTTTAAGAAACACTAAGCACACAATACTTAGTTGTTTATTTCTTTGAAATCAAGATTGTTTTTTTCCTATTTTGAACAGAAAAGATTTCGATGCTATAATTAAGTTTATACCTTTGAATACAAGAACACTTAATCACTCATTTAGAATCCCTTTTTCCATGTTAATAATATGATCAGTACAATTAGAGGACTTTCGTCTTTTCTTAGAAAAAAAAAGTCTCTTGTTGAATTTTATTTTATGTTAGCGATGTTAATAATCTTAATGATAGAGCACAAAAGGATAGAAATCCTTATACAACAGGTTAAAGGAAGTGAGTTAAGTCAGACAATACTTGGAACGGCGGCTCAATTAGTGGTCAGCGCATTCGACTTTAAGCTACTTGTCCCTGGTTTGACCACCACTCCACCTACTATTGTGTGGACAACTGAGCCGAATACATGAATTTGTACCTGACGAATGAGTTGAAACGAAGAAAAAAAAGTAATTTATTAAGCGATCTACTGATCTGTTTGTACATAGACTGGAAAACTAATTCATCCATCTTTGCTTATCTAAAGACAAAACTAACGAATCTAACCCATATTAAGAAATCTATGGCCTATTGGTATAGAAGCTCAATTTTTCAAAACCATACCACTCATTTACAAATAATAAGCGAGCTACAGAGTACCACCCAGTCAGTCATGACCTTGGCACAATTATTCGCCAATCCGAGTTGATATGTCGCACATTAGCAAAGTGCGACAAAAATATGAAGTATTTTTTATTTCATGAATTCATTCTCAAAGCAAATAGTTTATGTATAATCATTTCGACTAGTACTGATACTGTTACTACTTCTACTATTCTGACATTTGTCTTGCTATTGTGGTGTAGCAACTTTAGCAGATGCACACATGTACCAAATTTTATGTTGCTTATGACTAACTGATATGTTCATATACTATTCTTCCAGTACTAGTAGTGATACGACTTTTGGTTGCTTAAGCTGAAACTGGCGGTATGGGTTTAAAACCTACTATAAATTAGTGTAAAGCTAAGTGTTTTAATGAACCAAACCACTGTTCCCAAGTTTGGATGACGGCATAATTTTTCCCTAGTAGAATATAGACTAATCGAATTGTCTTCACTCTTTTTTTCTCTTCTAATCCGTCTTCTTTTTCATCATTTCACAGCATTTTCACTTACCACCTTCTCTATCCGATACAGTAAATAGATCCAATGCACCGGAAGCAGTCTTCACATGTTCCAAATTGCACGAAAATCAGTTAGAATTTTGAAGACAAAGCAGAAAAAAGCATACTTATTTATTTGTACACTTTATTGAAATAAATTCTCATATTAAGTCGATTATTCTTTCTGATTGTGGTGTCGCCACTTCGCATACTTGTAGACTGTTGTAAATATACATGTGTGTTTACTATGACTGAACACTAATTGATAATATCGTGTTATTTCTAGTCCATTTTACTGCCCATTTTCCACCGATCACGTGACTCAACATCATGGTACTCCTAAGACTAGGAAAATATGACGTTGGTTACCTGTTATTGTTACTAACTTGTCAGTCACGTACAGATTCATATAATTAGCTTTTAGTTACAGTCAAAGTGTGATAGATAATGGTACTACCCGGTTGCTCAAACCATAAAGCTTAGGAGTGAGTTTGAATCTGCGACTTAGTGACTTAAGGTTGAATACATTAACGATTGATATAGATTAGTTGGCTAGATGACATTTTGTTCATTTATTTCTATTTAAACTTATAAACATTGGTACAAGAAGGCACCAAATATGTGTGCGCCTCACAAATCAGTTGGTTTGTGTGAGCTTTGAGATACTGCCCGGTCGTCCAAACCGAAGCAGGTGGTTTTCTTAAGGCACCAATCCCCAAGATCACATTAACACCAAAATGTTTTGTTTAGTAAATTGTTCTTTGCATTAGAACCTCGTCCTCTTTGTCATTCCGGTAAAGTTTTTTAAATAAATATTTTTACAGGGACATAGTCTTTAAACTGATTGGTACATGAATAACAACCAATGTACTATAATTTGTCTAGTTTTCGTTGCTGCTGATCAAAGTGCATTGTGATCACATCAGTCTAAATGATTGTTTATCGTGTACACTATGTTTTGATTTCAGGTTGTTAAAAACAGGGTGCGTTATAAGCGGTGGTTAACAAGCTTGACTTCCCACCTCACCTAGTTAAGTTTGTAGAACCCAATAGCATAATCAGTTCTCAAATTAAGAAACATGTAGCTTAAAGTCAAGTGAATAAATCTTTGCCTATTTATTTATCTATTTAAACATATAAACATTGGTACAAGGAGGCACCAAATAGATATGCGCCACATTCATTTGTGTGAGGGCTGGGATACTGCCCGGGTGCCCAGACCGAAGCACGTGGTTTTCTTAAGGGGCCACACCCCGAGCCTTTGACCTAAAGGTCTACTCCACAGGGCAGTGGATCATTGTGAGGAGATGCAGTCCCATGGTAGCCGGTGACCAACAATTGGTTCATACGTCATTTGTTCCCACAGGATACTGGAGCCCATGTGCACCATTGGTTTGGAATCCGGTTAAAGCACCGGACATTCCCTTTTCGTCCTCTGATTTTCGTAAACAACAGTAATTCCACAAGAAGGGAGTGAGTAGGACTTTCCTGGCAGAGGCTGTATACACGTGGCCGTGTGAGAGCATTTCGAGAGGGAGAGCGAACTCTCCCCACTCTCGGTCATACCAGGGCATTCGGGGGTAGTCCTTGCCTAACAAATTAAAAGCGTACTAACAATCAAAATAGGGAAATATCTTTACATGGTTACAATTTAAAGAATATTACTTGATCCATTCATTTCAATTTAAACAACTGAATTGCAGTCAAGTACACGAATGTGTATGCGATAACTGCTGTCATGTTAGATTCCTTCCATTTTATTCAGTAAAAGATAATCAGTGTATTACTTAAACATTGATAATAAATATATTTTTGTGATATTCCAATGAATAGGAAATTGTATTTCTGATGTTTGGAAACTTATATATATGTTATTAACCTTCTACTCAATGCTCAATTTAATTGAAGCTACTAAGTTTAACTTTGGCATTAATACCTACAAACATGAGAATTAAGTTGTAGAAAAACTGTGTTAAGTGTTAATCTTGGATGTTAGGACCGTTATCAGTTATAATTCAGATATCATATCTTAATCCTAGTTCCTAGCTTGATAAATCATTTATTTGCTTTTGAAGAGTTTTCTGATTAGCCGTAACGATTATCACTTGAAAGTCATTCAAACTGTATATTTAAGATTTATCCAATATCGACAATGTTAGTGATTTTATATTTAACTATTGTTTGTAAATGATATACCTGTCTATTGCTTGTGTTCTTATTTTGTCGAATAGTTATTTCTGGAGATTGTTGCTAGTGGTTACCATACTGTAATTGTTTGTTTAAATTATTTTTTGATAAACAGAGTATTTTATTGTCTGGTTTGATTAATATTAATAAATATAGGACCCTTTTTCGTTATGCGTTTTGTTTACTTATTAGTTAATTCAATAAAATCCATCCTTGATGTTTAGTATCGTTTTTTTCTCGCATGCAATTATTGACTCAGTAACCAATTATAAATAATAATTTATGGAGTATTAGCTGGATGTTTTATTAGACTTTCTCAGTAACTGGAATGCAGGTTCGAATTCTCACTTCTTCTTCATAAGCATTCACACAAATAGTGAGTCAGTCAGTCAGCTACAACGTAGGACCAGGGACATAAATGCGTCGGTCCAAGTTGCCATACCTCATTAACACAACAAGATGGACACCGGATTCATAAAATTAGGTAATTCAGAGGTGGTAATATATAAAAGTAAGATTACAATAAGGATATGGTACAGGAAGAAAGAATTAGTTCGTAGAAAAAAGATATGAATCGATTTTAATCTCTTAGTTTAAGGGAATACAGAGAGTGTATACACCGACGCCATTGTTATCGATCCTAAGCCATGTCACCAAGAGTCTCCAATCATTGGTTACGATAGTCACGCGCACCTCAACTAAGTAGTTTGCATCTACCAACATGGCTCAGACTAAAAGTTAGTGGCTTTGTGGACTGATGCCACGTTTTGATTTGGCTGCCCCTAACTTTCTTCCAACCATCCCGAACACCGGTTAGCATTGCACGTCGTGGTAATCGGTGTTCGGGCATACGTAACACGTGGCCCAACCATCTCAGTCGATGAAGATTCACAACCTCATCAACTGATTTACCATCATTCCCTAATACTCTGCGTCGAACTTCACTATCACTTACCCAGCAGACGCCACACAACTAGTGTGTCTCAAAATCTGTTATTCAGATGAGTTATTGCAGATAATCCGTAACTAAGAGTTTTATTCAATCATTCAACTGGAGTGTATTGAAATCCAAGGGATAGGCAACGCGGATCTATTCATAGATTATAATTATAAGTTAGTGATAAATGACCTTAACCCTGTGATATATATATATATATATATATATATATATATATATATATATATATATATATATATATGATATCAATCTAAACACTTTACCATTTATCACTCTTGAGATGGAATTCCTATGATTTAAGAAATATTAATTTTATAAATCAGTCGTTTTAATTGAACATGGATATGTTTTGTTTTCTTTTTTGTAATGATTATGTGATATCACTAGTTAAAGTAGGTGGTTAGTGAATGACGATGTACCAACTGTGAGAGAAAGAGAGCCAGATCTCAACATTTTTGTCAGCATCTTTTAACCAGTTGAGAATACTTGGTACTATATGGAGTTTTAAAACAAGAAATTAACATTATTTGTAAAGCTAAGATTTTAAAGAAAGCATTGAATACGTTTAGTTACCATGGTATAACACTAATACGATCAAATGGTTTCTGTGTAATTTATGATAATAATTGTTCACTTCACTGACAGTAAGTATACTGAATTCATGGTCTAAGGCATTAAACTATTATAATGTGAATGGGTTTTGAATATTAGTCGTCTTGAATAGTGTACACAATTCAATCATCCTAAAGGTGTAGTTTTTTCTTTAAAAAAATTTGTCACATCAGAATTTTGTATACTATGTTACTAGTACAAATTATATGTATATTCGACTTAGAACTACACTGTAGTTGTTTGATGATGATGGCTAACAATATACGGTTGCCGAGACTAAAGTAATTACGGTATGATGTTAAAACCAACTGCTTACTCATTGAAAGCTTATTTTTGCCTCATATAAATAGCATTCACATATATACCGAGTTTTTTTTATGTCTCTTTTCAGTAAAATTTCTACACAAACTTATCGTGTAAACAGATTATGTCGTATACAACTGAGAACGATTCATCTGATCATCCGCATCCATGTGATAAGCATATATCACCTGGCGATGAGGATGATGGTGGCGATTCTAGTCTTACTTTACCTGCTGAAGCACAGTATGATCCAACCTTGACTGGAGCAGAATATTACCAAACAGGTGGTTATTGGCATGCTGGAACACAAATGATGGATTGTTTATTTCAAACTGATCGGATTGCAGATGTGGCTTTCGATCCTTTAGAAGAATTAATCTGGTGTGTGACACGTACAGTAAGTTAGTAGTTTTAATTCAAAAAAGATATATATACATATAATCCGTTGGTCTGTCAACTAAGGCTTTTTTAATTCACCTAAAGTTATTGTACATTTTTCGGTGAATGCTTTTCAGGGTCAAATGAGTGCATTCTATTCAACTACCATGGAACGTTATATAACACTTACTGTACCGTTGATTTCGGATGTGAATTCACTTGAAACTATCACACCATATAATGGATTGAAGCAAGTCTTTCCTTCACCTCGTCCAATGGAACATTCTGTTTTTGTTTTGGCTAATAATGCTTTACATGCTTATACAAAAATGGGCAGACCGTTAGCTTCTGTTGTGTAAGTTTAATTGGATTACAACCAGTATTTTATTGAAATATTGATTATATAAACCTGTATTTTTAGTCGCAGGATTGAATTGTATTTTTCCATCTTTGTTTGTTTCATTTTTATATTTTCTTTCTGTCTTCAAAAGTACAGTAAGGCATCCAGTAGTGCATCAATGATAATCGAATTCATGATTTTCAGACTTGACGTTTAGGACTTCCAGCGCCAAACAATTTTTTTCAATTTTGTTTTTCATAGACCAGAACAAATGTTCAACGTTTTGGTAATGTGGTCTGATCGACCGAAATCTTTACAAAAATCGAACTTAGTTTGGACTCTAACATGCAATAAGTCTGCAGTGCTGTTAGTAATGACAGGGAAGTTGTCACTTTCTAGTTGTCCACACCGTGGAAGGATGCTTTTCCTTGAAGTACCTGGAAAGGAAATTATGTTAGGGGGAAGTGATCTTAACAACCTGGTATAGCGATCGCAAAGCCCAAGGGATAACTGTTCGAGCGCAGTCACGATTATTTTGTAAACAGTGTTAGGTGTATTAAATGAGGCCTTGTCATCAGAGACAGAAATCTATGGGGCAACGTGAGATGTGCTATTTTCAGGACTGACCTTCACTAATTCTATCTAGTTGTTTGAAGACAGTGCATCTGCAGATATTGGTTACAGTGGGAAACAACAGTTTGACTTTATCATCGGAACATAAGTTTGATGCTCTTAGTCCACTTTCCAACCAACCTGATTGGGTATGATTAGGAACTCACGAAACAAATGTTTCAATTACAATAGAGCTGGACTGGATCATCATGATATGGAAGTCTATATTGGCTTGTAGATATTAGTCATGTCAGTATGTAGATTTTTGAGATTGTAGTATCTCTACAGTCGAAATCACGAGTTCTAAGTTAGATTACCATTGAAAACTTGGAAACACTGGACGACTGTTTCGTTTTAGTATGGGACTTGGATATGAGACGGACCTCGGACAATGGACGAAGGGTTGGGCAAGATCATGGGTTGATTGAAGTTAGACATTAACATCGTTGGATACCCGCTCAGTGGTCTCGATGTTAGGCGTTTACATACGAAACCAAAGGTCTTGTGTTTGAGTCCCATGTGCACGATCGTAAATGCGCACTGCTGAAGAGTCTCATACTAAGAAGAAACGATTATCCAGTGCTTCTAGGTTTTCAATGGTGTTCTAGCTTAGATCGACTAGTGATTTTTAACCATGAGAACATTGGTCATATGTTTATACACAGATCAGAGTATTCATTCCTATAACAATTGTATAATATATATGATATTGTCGAATTTTATATTGAGCAAAATAATCAGTGACAATTCATTGCTAGCACATATTGATTGTATTTCATATTATCATTTTCGAATGAGCTAGTATAAAAGAAACACGTGAATTTTTGTTAAGATACAATTATGTATTTAACTTTATTTATTCACCTTGTTAATACACATTATTGTTAGTACAGTTAAACTGATAACTATAGGAAGAAAATAGGTATCATTAAAATAGTTCCCTTTGATCATTTGCTAAATAAACTTTAAGGATTTTGTCTCATTTTTACCTCTTTAGAAACTAGCTAACAATCTTTCAATCGGATACAATCAACGTAAAACCTGGCAAATATATATATCAATCAATCGGTACAGGTTACCTCATAAAATCATCATAGAGAGGTGGAATCGACTCCGTTAATAAAAAAAGAATCAAAATACTTGTAGGGTTAATGATATTAAGAAAGATTAGAAATATGGTTTAGAAAGAAGAAATAAGTGTATTAAAAGTATGGAATAATGTAGATACGAATGTAAAGAATGAATATTTCAGAGCATGTGCAATCGACTTTGTGCCATGTCACAATAAGTTATCAATCATTGATGAAGATTATCACGCAGACCGCTCAAATATTTAGTTTATATCTACTAAAGTATTCATGCCACATCCTGATATTGACCGTTCAACAAGCTATTGTAATTATTAGAAAAAGGTTTATAATCACTACTGTAACAATAAATAGTTTAATCAGTAGTCAAAATTGGTTAGACGAAATCAGAATTTATAATTAATTACTATTTCACAAATTAATAACAATTAGTTGACTCCTCTATAATTTGTGTTAGCCACATAATGATGGGACATTTTTTAAAATGTTTTATTCATCATTGTTTTCTCTATATTCCCATTTCAAATTCAGGGCAAATATCATCCATTGGTTCAGCATTTGTAGATCAATGCTGCGACTAGTTAGAGCTTTTAAACAAGTAACAGTGTGGGGTGGCATTGAATTATTATTGGATCAGCCGAAATCAAACGACTGCATTACTTATAAGGACTTCAATGTTTCCCCACCATCTGAATCGTGTGTTTAAAACGAGTGGGAGATTAGTCAACTGTTTTTATGTGAGTGTATTTACTTACTGGGTTTTCATTGCTAAACACAATAATGAATATTTACTAACTGGATAAACTGATACATATCACCCTGCAATAATTTATCCCTCACTCACGTTATTTATGAATAATAATTTCCTTTTTAGACATAAATTCATGCTAGAGTTAGAATGTTTAGCTGTAACTGGTCCTACTGGTACCTTGATGAGTGGGTCCGGTATTAGAGGAGCTGGTAATGGTTTGGGGAACTTCGCACGATTTTTCTTGGGTGGTCTTCAACCAACCCTACTAGAAGTAGATGCTGTAGAACGTTGGGGTGAAGTAATCAATACAATAGATGTTGGAATTGGTGGATCTGTAGTGCTTCGACCATTCAGTGGTGGCTTATGCGCTGGAAATACAAATGGAAAAGTAAGTTTCTCTTCATTATATATATATATATATATATATATATATATATATATATATATATATATATATATATATATATATATATATATATATATATACGTTTAATTCATTTCCTCATTAGCGTCCCGACTGTATCATAAAAAATTATTTGATAAATAGTCTTTAAAAGTGTACTGGTGAATTCACCACACAATAATTATCCGAGTTTCATATTTCCCCTTTTCTCAAACCTTTCCATCGAACTGTGACTTTAGGAGCGGAAATGGTTTAGTTGAACATACATTTCTTTCGCAAGTTGACTACTGTAAACAATCTCAGTAGTATAGTCGTTACGATCCATTAAAATTTATGTCATTTTTTGTAACAAAACTTTGTATCGGACGCTTTTTTTTCGGATTATGCTCTTTAGGTTATGATAATCGATTCGCGTACCAGTCATGGTATTGTACGTGAATTAGACGCGCATACTGGTGAAATCTCTGATATGACAGTTGATGCGAATAGTCATACATTAGTCACTTGTGGATGGTCACGTATCGGTGATTCTGGATTACGTGTGGACCGCTTGTTGAGAGTATGATCTTCATTTTGTTTAAATTTCTCATTTTAATTTGATTTTGTGCAAAATTGATTATTACCCTAATGAATAACCATTAATTCTATTTCAAAGTGTTTCATTTAAGTTCTCCACTCACATAGATCAAGATTATCTCTTGGTATATATATATATATATATATATATATATATATATATATATATATATATATATATATATATACATAAGATAGGGTAAAATTAAAACCGAAGAAATATTAGCAAACAGAAAGCAATTTGTTCATAAATAAGATGCATTCGAGTGTAAGAATTCTACAAGTTGTTAACATTCCTTGCTCGTTAATGCTGTGGAAGAATATTTTTTATTGAAATACCTGTAAGATGAACAAAGAGTATTGAATGTACTACGTAGCTAGGAGTGTGGTTTCAAATCTCAGGATATTGCTGCTGCCTAAGATTAGTCGATATTGAATTTTCCGTTGGAGTAGTTTCTGACGTATCAGCTCTGTGTTTTTCAAAGATTATTACCAGCATTATTAACTCAGAGCGACCATAGTCTGGTGTGTTATCTTACAGAGCCAACCTTTTCTAACTTCTATTTTCATTTGGAGGTAGACAACATTTTTATTTATTATACTGATTGACCTACAAAATCCACTTGAATGAATGCTAAATTATTTAAAATTGTAACGTACCATCAGTCCATAAAGTTTTTATCTTTTTATCCACATTGTTTGGGAGAATGAATTATTTGAGACCCCACTAAACAGTCACAGTCGGTTTGTAAGGGTTATTTTCTCATTACTGATGCAAAGGACTGAAGTTGATCAAATTTCATTGGGATATGTACATCCTGAATGTATTGACTATATACAACCAATTAGTCACAGGTTTTCATTGTCAGTGGAATCCAGACCACTCGTTTTTCTAATTACGTACTGAGTTCAATCCTCAAGGTGAACATTAGCAGTACTGGGGTGCAAGCGCATAAAGCTGATGCATCTTGAATAGAACAATACGCGCGTTCAGATTTCCACTAACTAATATCCAACTTTAATAAAGTCGTAATCAATGATTTTTCATAACTTAAAATACTGTCCTCCAAAGTCAATGCAATTAGAAATTAATACTTCTCACTCCTTAAATCGAATTAATGCTTGTATCGTCATGTGACTGACAGGTAGAAGTGGTTTGTCCTCTTCCTATCTTATTTTATTACTATTACTATGTAGCTCTTTGTAGTTATTGATATCGTTGTATTATATTACACATTTGTGCATCTAGGTCTATGATCTTCGATCGGGTCGTGCTCAAGTTCCACTCTCTACATCACTAGATCCATGTTTTGTTCGATTTATACCTGGTTGCAGTGATAGTTTATTGGCTACTTCACAAACTGGTGCTTTTCAAACTATACAATGGGGTAAAATTGCGTTTTCCCCAAATGATTTAGGTCAATTGTGGTTAGGTTACGACCGACTAGTTGCCACAGATCTATCACAAAAGTATGTTTTTTTCCCATTTATGTCCATATATATATTCATGAAACGTGTTCATAGAAAATTAAATAATGAAGTTATATTAGGACAAATTACATAAGAATAAGAAATTAAAACTAAAGACTGAAAAAGCGTAACTATGTTGATGGCCAGCGCAAATTAAAAGGTTGTGCAAATGTTTTCTGTACACAAAGATCAGGTTTATTTGTGTATATTCCTATGGCTTATACTAGTATGTAAAGAGATGAATTACAGGAACAATAGGTGAGTTCAATGGAATCCTTCCAATATCTTTGAAGGCTAAATTGTTACCGATGTGGTGATTGATACTGACGAAATACCTCAAAACACAGAGCTTATTGTTTGATTTTCTCCTTTGGTCAACCATGAGAGACTTTGTTCAAAAATACGTTGCATTTATTGCCATATTTCATTTTCCTTATTATTTAGTGGGAATTGTGTCGTTTTCGCCACTGAAGCTGGACAACTACACTTATATATTCATGATATAAATTTGTGCCAATTTAATACATCACCTTTACCTACAGAATTCGCTTCTCCATTCCCGGAAAGCTTATGGCCTACAAATACACTACAAACTACAATCCCAGTAAATTATTCATTAATGATTTTCGATGATCCTGCTAGTACACTGTATGGAAGCAATTTAGCTGGAATTGGTAAAACAGCTGCTGAATCAATTGGCTTACAAATGTTAGCTGCTTCTATACATCAACCGCCAGAAAGTTTATCCAGTCCAGATTTTCTAAATCTTGTCGAACGTCGTAAAGCCGAAGCAGCACGTGAAGCAGTTCTTACTGCTTATAAACCAATTGAATATGATGATTATCGTTTCTCATTAGCCAGTGTTCCTTTTGCCGCTTATCCACCACCAGTATTCGATTCAACCAATAATCCAATTGAAGATGAATCAAGTTGTATATGGAAAGCTAAACTGGACACAATGTGTACATCAGATTGGCCAGAAGATTTGAATAAATCACAGCACAAGTAATTGTTCACATTTATGAAAACCCCCATTTCTTATTCATTTTCTCCCTACTGAAAACGTTCAACATAAATTATGTTTATCTATGTGTATGTTTCTGTATTGAGGATGGTAAATTACGCAATGGTGATTCTTTGATTACACTAAAGATTTTCACTTTTGTCTTAATTCCTTGGAAATGAGAAATTAAATCTTGATATTTTCAATTTGTTGTCATTTTAAGTTTAATAGGAATGTATACAGAGCGTAGGATTATGTTCTGAGTTTTTTAATGTATTTTTGAAAAAAAATGGTAAGCAGTGAGTAGGACATCCTTAGTAGTGGCTGTATACGCGTGGCCGTATAAGAGCATTTGGGGAGGGAGAGCTGACTCTCCTCTTCCTCTGTCGTACCAAGGTATTTGGAAGGTAATAATTTATGGAATAAATGTTAAACATATATATCTATTTGACAAATATAAAAAAAATCAAGTTTGAATTGATTGATTTCTATAGCTATAACCGTGCACCGATCCCTGATTCAAATCTTTAATTCAATTCTTTTGTTTTTGTTAGTTATGTGCAAAGGTTAATGTGAATAATAGCCAATTATGTAGATCAAATTAGATTTAGAGGTATTACAAACCTGGGACTTGTTGAAAACCGTGTTTTTTCCAGTACTAAGTAGGCTACCAATCGTCTTAATTCTCGAATAACTTCGTATTTTGTCCCACTTTATTCATCGATCCGATTTATCATATCTCTCGTTAACTTTTCTGTCATCTATGATCCATAATTTCTTACTTACCTGTCTTTTTTTACACAGAGTAATGAATGAAGTTGATCCTGATCTTTTAAATAATGCCAATAGAAAACGAGCTGTACGTAAACCACCTCAATGGGGAACTGTATGGCATCCATATTCCACGGATGAAGTAACAATGAACTTATATACTACTCATAATAATATTGATGATAATAGCATGGAAACTGGATGTTCTAGTCCATTGCAATTAGGTCGTTTCGAACATGTTACAATGAAAGCAACAACAACAACAGCAACAATCAACGCTACTATCCCCACTACCACCATCACAGCAATTACATCATCCACATCGACGGCAGTCACTAATAACAAATTGCCTACATTAGCATAATCATATTATCGTCATTAATAAAATGCATTTCAGTTGTTTATTTCTGTTATTGTCATCGTCACTTGACTTTTTTTTTCTATGTTAACAAAATTGCATTGAGAAGTTATTTACACCGCTACATTTCTATTGATGCTTTGCTTCACCTTTAAGATATATATCAATAACAACATAACGTACATTGTCCATTGACATCCAATCACCATGTACAATCAATTTTAGTTTAATTTATGTACAAATATTTAGATTGTTTTTTCTCTTTTACATTGTATGGTAGTATGGTTTTTCTTATTTCTCTGTATTGATTATACTTAGTTAACAATCGAGTTTTATTTCCTTTTGTTGCCTCGGTTATTATTATTTTTTTTGCATTATATATATTAAATAGATAGGTTTTCTTTTTTTAGTTAAAACAAGCATAACTGTGGGGGGGGGTTACTGTTTTTTTTTAAAATTTTTTTTAAAAAACCCACTGTTCCCCCCCCCATATTTTAACTGTTATTTTTACGAACTGTTAATAAATGGATCAATGAAAACATGAATAGTTTTGTTATTCGATGGTCTTTTATATGAAAAATTTGTCACCAAGGCATTTCACTTTAATATGGTACTTGTAAATCATGTAACAAATAGAGATAAGCAACATAAGAAAATAACTTATCGATCAATATAATTTGGTTCAAGTTCTCATTACGTTACATTAGAAACTGAGAATAAATATTGGAGTATTTAGAAGTTGTAGTTTCAGTGATGATAAAACTGAATCAAGGAGAAATATTGGATCTTCCGAATAAAGTAATCTAGAATAAATGTATACGAACTATTGTGACCATTTTTCAGTCATGTCTTATTTCTGCAACCATTGTTTGCGGTTATCACGCGGACCACAACTGGCTAGTTTATACATACCAACAGTCAATGACTCCAAGAACTGATGCTGTATCTTATTTTAGCTTCCCATAGTTTTCTTCGAACTTATGACTATGACGGTCAAAGTTGCTTATCCAGACGCGTTCATTGCGTATACATACTACCTGTCTCAACCACGTTAGTCGGTGAAACTTCATTGACCAATTAATCATCCTAACATAGTATCCTGCTTCCAACCACAAAATTACTCACTCGATGGTCGAAGTGTTATAAAGATACTTAAGGTCAAGTTCTGGTAATCTATAGGTGTTTTCTACTCTTGAAGCGTACATTTCATGGTCATATGTCGAGTCAGCAATGTTAAGCAGAGAAGTCCCAGTGAACACATACCTGAAATACCGGTTGGATGAAACGGATAGACATCACCTGAAAAAGTTCGATTTAAATAAAATTTATCAATGATTATTTATTACTGAATTAATGATCTCAAATGGATAATCAGGAAATTAGATTTATCAGAATCATTTCACAAATGCGATAAAAATGATCTTGGTGGTCTAGTAATAGTATCCCAATACCAGACAATCGGTTTTAGGCGTGATTTTAGCCCTAACATTTCAGGCTGGTCTATTTCGTTTACTATCCTATATATGTGTTCTACGCAGTATTTGTTATATTGCTATATAGAGCTGAGTATCTTATATGAGACTGGAGGTTTGCCATTGATATTGTGGATGGTTCTGGATTACTTTAGCAAGTTTTTCTGACTGTTCGTGTGCAAAATTTGTTTGCTCATTAACCGATTTCATTCATACTGGTGGTTGATTTTCAATGTTCTCAAGGACTTTGTATAGGAAGTTTTCGGATCATAGTATCCTTGATAACTGTTGAAAACGGATTAATATTTTCCAATGTGGCGTGCTTTGTGTTACTCGTCTAATTGAGTACTATTCAATGATGTATAATATGTACACGTATATTAAGATTTGTGATTGACGATTTACACCTGCTCTTAATCGCCATGTTATATGAGGGATACTACACCATTGAAAAGCTGGAACGGCCGTTTCGCCTTTGTATAGTACTCCTCAGTAGTGCGCATGTACGCAGTACTGGAAACCAAGACGCGTACAAACAACTCGCAATTATTAGATTTTATTTCGTATGATTTCTTAAAATTGATACATTATGATAAGTCAGGGACAAGTATGCTCTCAACTCAGTAATTGCAACAGCCTACGTGCAACCCAGTAACGTTTTCTTCTATACTGTTCAACAGACATGATTGATAATTTCTATTTCCCAGTAGATTGATGCCGCAAAATATTGACAAACGGATAATAGTTCATAGGTGGAATATTTCAACATTTTCAAATACAAAAAATGGATCATTCTAATAAGGTTTGGATTGAATATTTGTGCACAGCTGAAGCTATAGCAATTCACCTTTCAAAATATGATCTCTATGTATGAAGGAGTGATATTCAAGCCCTCGTTCTTACATGGTCGAACTATCTTTTTTAATTTTACAGTTTGCAAATGCTAATTATTATTTTATTTTTCAACTTCGTCTTGTTCGTCTGTACATTTGTAAAATAAACAATCATCTTTGATATTTATTACATAATTTACTATTAATGCTTACTAGAAAGGAAGTATTTTTCGGTGTGTACGTGCTTTATATACATATATGTAACAATGCTACGGCGAACGAAACGACACCATGTTGCAACAATTTGAAAGTACGACATTCCACGATAAACTTTTAAATTCTTTCATCAGATTATTCATAAAAATGAAGATAAATATTCTAGTCCTTAACATAAGCATCAAGCTTCTTATTCGTTTGTACATGAATCTTAATAATTCACTACATGTATAGAAATATCTCTCAATCAATTATATAACTTTTTTAGTATAACGTTTTGAAGATTGCTGAATTTCATTGAAATTCTGAACTTGGCAAGCTTTGTAAACCAGAAAGCACTTGTGGTGATCGGTATAATCCTCAAACTTCGTATACAGTTCGTTTTGATAATCGTCACGAGATAATGCCCCAACGGTATATTAATCAGAAGGCGAATACGAAGTGTTGATTATGTTTATTATGGGACCACACACACATATCCAAAAGTACAGGTGCATTAAACATGCATGAAAGAGTTGTGCCAAAAGTCAAGCACGCAAACGAGTGAGTCAGCGAATATCAGTACGAGTAAGCTAGTACAGATAAGAGAGAGAGCAATAAACATGAATAACATGGACATATATATAGTAAAGCTAGCAACGTGAATAAATGAGTGGGCAGTAAGCAATGCTCAAGCATGCATGTTCATACATTCGCAACAATAATAAAGATACAATGATATAGATAAAACTCCGCCTGTAGCTCTTATAGGGTTACTGCCGGTCCCAAGCCCGGGTAAAGGAGGAGGGTTGGGCATGGGGTTAGCGTCCCCATCCCGTAGAAAACTAACTCGCTAAAAAAACGCTAACCAGAAAAAATAATCCAAACCATTTAAACTCTGCCCTGGGAGTTAGAAGGTCTTCATTTAGAAGAATTATGACGCTTCATGGTGAAAGCCGAGTTCCTTCGGAAGCCACGAGGCCGATGCCCCTTCTAACAACCAGAGCAAAAATTTTTATAGGTACATGGAACGTTCGAACAATGTGGGAAACCGGGAAGACCAGTCAAATAGCATTGGAAATGAGGAGATACAACCTAGCCGTACTGGGAATCAGCGAAACCCACTGGACCCAAGCTGGACAGAAAAGGCTAGTTACGGGAGAGATGCTGCTATACTCCGGTCACGAAGAGGACAATGCTCCACACACTCAGGGAGTCGCTCTTATGCTGTCCAAATTAGCACGAAATGCACTTGTAGGATGGGAATCCCACGGATCCAGAATCATCAAAGCATCATTCAAAACAAAGAAGGAGGGGATCTTAATGAATATTATCCAATGTTATGCACCCACAAATGATAGCAACGACGACATTAAAGATCAGTTCTACGAGCGGCTGCAGTCAGTTATTGAGAAATGCCCAAGGAAGGACCTAACTATTCTGATGGGAGATCTAAATGCCAAAGTCGGAATAGACAACACTGGATATGAAGATATTATGGGACGACATGGACTGGGAGAAAGAAACGAAAATGGAGAAAGATTTGCAAATCTATGTGCATTCAACAAATTGGTCATAGGAGGCACAATATTTCCACACAAGCGTATACACAAGGCTACATGGATCTTACCGGACCACACTACAGAGAACCAAATAGATCATGTTTGCATCAACAAAAAATTCAGAAGGACAATGGAAGATGTGAGAACCAGGAGAGGTGCTGACGTAGCTTCAGATCACCACCTAGTTGTGGCCAATTTAAAACTGAAGCTAAAAAAGAACTGGACAAGTGGACAAACAGCAATACAAAGGTTCAATACAGCCTTCCTTCGAGATACTGACAAACTCAATGAATTCAAGATAGCTCTCAACAACAGGTTCCAAGCCTTACAAGATCTACTGAAAGAAGAAGAAACTAGTATAGAGGACAACTGGAAAGGCATCAAGGAAGCATTGACTTCAACGTGTCAAGAGGTTCTGGGTCTAAAGAAATACCATCATAAGGAATGGATCTCTACAGAAACACTGGACAAGATCAAAGAAAGGAAGAACAAGAAGGCAGCAATAAACAACAGCCGAACACGAGCAGAGAAAGTCCAAGCACAAGCTGAATACATAGAAGCAAACAAACAAGTGAAGAGGAGCATTAGAGCCGACAAGAAGAAATATGTGGAAGAACTAGCAACGACGGCAGAAAAAGCTGCTAGAGAAGGAAATATGAAACAGCTTTACGATACAACGAAGAAACTAGCAGGAAAATACAGTAAACCAGAGAGACCGGTCAAAGATAAAGAAGGCAAGCCAATCACCGAAATTCAACAACAGCGGAACAGATGGGTAGAATACTTCGAGGAACTCCTGAATAGGCCGGCTCCAATGAATCCACCGGACATCGAAGTGGCACACACAGATCTTCCCATAGACGTCAACCCACCAACGAAGGAAGAAATCAGAATGGCCGTCAGACAAATCAAGAACGGGAAAGCAGCGGGTCCGGACAACATACCAGCTGAAGCACTGAAGTCAGACATCGAAGCAACTACAAACATGCTTTATCTTCTATTCAAAAAGATTTGGGAGGAGGAACAAGTGCCGATGGACTGGAAAGAAGGGCACCTCGTCAAGATTCCAAAGAAAGGAGATCTGAGCAAATGTGAAAACTATAGAGGCATTACACTGCTGTCAATACCAGGGAAGGTCTTCAACAGAGTGTTGCTGAACCGAATGAAAGATGCAGTAGACGCCCAACTTCGAGATCAACAAGCTGGATTCCGTAAGGATCGATCATGCACAGACCAAATTGCAACACTACGGATCATCGTCGAACAATCAGTTGAGTGGAACTCGTCACTATACGTCAACTTCATTGATAATGAAAAAGCATTCGACAGTGTGGATAGTAGGACGTTATGGAAACTTCTTCGACACTACGGAGTTCCTGAGAAGATTGTCAACATTATCCGGAACTCATACGACGGACTACAGTGCAAAGTCGTGCATGGAGGACAGCTGACAGATGCATTCCAAGTAAGGACCGGA